AACGCGTAGACAAGCTTCTCTAATCATTGGAAGTTCTCTTCTAAGCATGTCACAGTCCTCCAATGGATCAAGACTTTGTATGTAAGCAAGCTCTTCATCAGAGAAAGGTAATGATGCCTGAGGCCAATGAATCCACTCGAAATAAGGATCCTCTAGTGTTTCTGGCAGGCAGAGACCATGGTCTATCGGAATAAGCTCCACTTGACCAAATGTCCCGGCTCCATCGAGCTTTTTCACCAAAAGGTTCCCGCCATGACGGTCTGTGTTCAAGATCCTTATGTCCAATATACCAATGCGGTGCACAGAAGCTACAGGGAAGCTTGATGTGCCATGATCGCTGGCATCGAAATCATGAGCCACAAACTTCTGGAAAGAAGCAATTTTACTAACCAGCTTTTTCTCCCGAGGCTTGTTCCCCTTCACCTCATCGTTGACATTGAATACAGAATGAGTTATCTTCACGAGAGCAGTGGGAGGGACATTAGCAAACCGATCGTAATCAAGAAGATAAGCTGCGACTTCCCTGAACCCGGTTTCCCCAACTCGTACTGAAGACTTTAAGCCAGGTTGTCCCAGAGCTTTCCCAACAAAGCCTTTCGGATTGTTTGGTGCAAACGGCTCTTCATCCGTCGGCTTGACAATCGCAACACTCTGACCATTTTTGTTCCTAAAATAGTAGGCCCCTCCAAGCCCGCTATGCACAGGAAGTGGCTCAACGCCCATCTTCATCGCCTTCACAATGTCCTTCACCATTTTCTGTACAATCGAAAAGCATTCTGATTGGCCAAGTATCTCAATAGGACCACTTCGGTCTTTCTGCTGCAGATCTCTGCCAGTAGGTGAAAGACAAGGAGTAGACGAGCTTCTGTGCATAAAGTTACGTCTCAGGAGAAGCGGAGAATCATTCCTCACAGCGCTCAGATCGTTCGTCAGCACCATATCCCCATAAGTCAATGAGCTTTCCTCGGTAGGAAAATTAAGAGCAATCTGAAGCCTTCTCTTCACAGTATGAACATTGTCACTACGATCCAACTCCATCCCCAAAACACAACCGGTTTCTGTCTGCACAAAAACCCTCCGTCCCGAGGATTGTCTCTGTAGATGCTGATGTTTATGATGCTGCTTCCCTTCCATCTTACTAGCCCCAGTAAGGGGTGTCTTGAAAACCGCAACTGCCATTTGTGTCTGCACAGGACTGTCTAAGTTTCGAGACATGAAACGGAAGGTGAAACCAAGGAAACAGCACAAGAGAAACCGTTCCCGTTCCCTTCAAGACCAGTGCCTTCGTCTGAAACCAACACGAACCGGACAAAGCAGAGGCAGATAATACCTAAACCGATCATGAAACGCAGAGAACGCAGCTCTATCTCAACCAGATAATAACAACAAGAGCCAAAGTTAACGCTAAAACTCGAGTTTTGCGAAAGAATTTGATCCAGCAACTACATCAGATAAGCCATGATTGATAAATCTGTACAACAAAAACAAAATCACAAAATAAGAAATCACCAATCTAAAGCAGATCTATCTATCATAAACGATACCTACACTAATCCAAAAACTAGATCCTGATCCAAGAAATTTCACATATACAGTTCCAGAAATCGATTCCAAATGCAGAAATTCCGAAATCAATGAGCTTCACAAATCGAAAAACTCACCGGAAAACCAAAGATCTGAAGAAATCAAAAACTTGAGGCGAATCAGTCGCAAGCGACGAATGAATCAATTCAAAGA